CCGGGTACCAGTCCCCTCTCATCAGAGCCCTGGGGCCCAGACACCAATCCTGTCCATGCTGCATGTCCGGCAAAGAGTAAGGAGGCTCTGAGCAACACGAGGCTTGCAGGTTGGGACCCGGGGCGGGATCCCCGGCTGCCACAGCCCGTCCCTGCTGACTTACTGGTTCCAGGGGCTCTCTGGACAGGCAGGCTGCAGCGACGTCACTCCAGACAAGCCTGGGGTGCTCACACCCTCAGTCTGGCTGGGTGCGTGTTGGGCTCACCCGGTGGACCTCTTAGGGAGCACGCTGGATGGCAGCTCTCCCAGCCTCCGAGCCACGTGGCCAATGCCAGCAGGGCTCCCACAGCCTTCTGCGGCCAGGGCCTATGAGCCACGTGTCCGTGGGGCGCAGGCACTGGGCTTGGGAAACCCGCCTCTGGCTGTCTCTTCTCCCTGCCAGTTCTTGTGAGTGCTGTCTCCATGGAAAATGTGAGCCTCTCTGGAAGGGGTCTAAATGCAGGGGATGCCATTGTCCTGGCTTCCGGCCCAGCATCTGGGGGCCTGGCCCTCCTTGGCCTTTCTCCGGGCACCCACAGGTCTTGGGGCAGCCGTTCAGGAGCCTCAACCCAGCTACCTTCCTGGCCTGGGACACAGATACTGGGGAGTCGGCCTGGCTTGCCCTCCCACTCCGTTCCAGATGCTTCCAAGCCGCCTTCTTGTCTCTATCCTCCACTCACAAACTGCACTTCACCGGAAGGAAGGAAGGAAGGAAGGAAGGAAGGAAGGAAGGAAGGAAGGAAGGAAGGGAGGGTGGGCGGGCAGAGGGAGGATCATAATCCTATTCTGTGTGTGCGTTAAGATATACACAACTATTCTGACCGTTTTTAAGTGAATAATTCAGTGGCCTTTGGTACACTCACAACGTTATGCAATCACGGCCTCTATCATTTCCAAAATACTTCCATCGCCCTGAGCAGAGACCCCAGGCCTATTCTTCAGTCACTCCCCATGCTTCCTCCTGCCCCTCCCCCAACCCCCAGCTACCACTAACCCACTTTCTGTTTCTGTGGGTTTACTTACTGTGGGTCGACTAAATGGAATCACATGAGACGTGGCCCTGTGTCTGGCTACTGTCTCTCCGTGTCACGTTTTCAACGTCCATCCACGTTGCAGCATGAGCTGGTGCTTCGTTCCTTTCCGTGGCCGGCAGATGCCCTGCGGCAAGGCCCGACCGCATCTCGTTCATCCACTGAAGGGCCCGTGGGTGCTTCCCACCTCCCAGCTCTCGAGAATAGTGCTGCTGTGTCCTGTCATCTCACAGACGTCTCACCTTCCTCTGAGCTCCGCCATGAGAGGCTAAGGCTCACAGAATCTGTGACTGGGGTGTGAGCAAAAGTTAACTCGGAAACACAGGATAGAAAGTGTTTGGCTTTGGACGCGGAAAAGTTGTGGGTGAGACTGAGCATGGTGTCCACGGAGTGCGGACAGAGCATGCGCGGAGCATGGGTGGAGCATGCACAGAGCATGCAGAGCACAGGTTTCTGCACGTGGCCTCCACCACACGACCTCCCCAGGATGTGGGACTGTTTTTAGACCCATTTCAAATACAGTAAACTGAGGCCCATCCGTCTGCCGTCTGACTGTGGGAATTAGGAAAAATTTCCTTCATTTCTGAGCCTTGAAGCACCCCCTTCTCGCCCCCTCTGTGATGTCGGCACCTGGTGGGGCCGGGTGTTCCCGGGCCTGTGGCTCAGGGCTGCCCATCTGGGGACTGCCAGGCTGCCCTTCCTGCCTTCACAGAAAGGCTGTGCTGAGGCCTCCGGGGCTCCTGGCTCTGGGTCCCCAGAGTAAAGGGTATCGGACCCCCAGCTGCTTATCACCACCTGGGGCTACTTCCCTAACTGGGAGAGGATTAGGTTTCCCCATCTGCTTCCTCCTCCTGAGTCACTGCTGAGTCACTGAAGTGTGTCCCTTGGCGCTCTGGTCAGGGGCCAGCACAGCCGACTGAGTCCTCTCTGACTTCTTGGGCCACTAGTGCCCTATTTCAGGTCATTCGGTCTGTGGCCAACTGCACAAGGCTGAATCTCGGTTCCTGGTTGGGAGGTGATTCTCATGCCTCCAGAGCAATGGTGGGACCTGGGACTCAGTTTCTGCATCTGTAGAGTGGGGCCAGAGTCTGGCCACAGTCATTCAGGACCAGGCAGGAAAAACCACCATAGGTCCAGCCAGTGCCTCCAGACAAAAGGAGGGTAGGGTGGGGACAGGCCTTCCTCATGCCCCACACCCTCTACCCAGTGTTCCCCCTTTACCCCCTGCCTTTCTAGGGGCCTAGCAGCGGGAACCCCAGTTTGCACATCAGGGACGAGAGTCACAAGATTCTTCCCTGAGATTACATAGCTGCAAGTGTCAGACTCCAGAGCCCCTGGATCCTGTCCCCCCTCCCAAGAAAGTGTGGTTCCTGGAGGCCCTTCAGTACTGTGGGGATTTTCTCTCCAATACCCAGGCCCCAAGGAACAGTAGGTTTGGGGCTCTGGCAGTGCTTTTCCAGGACCGTATATTGTGGGTCCCTCCTTTTCTCCACCCTGGACCCCCTTTAGTGTTCTTTCTCCAGGGACTGCCCCTCACTTTAGGAAAAGGTTTCACAGATCGCACACATTGCAAGTATTAATCAGTGATGACCTCTCTTCCATTGCACATCAATCAGAGGCAGAGGACACCTGCCCCCCTGGATGCTCTGAACAGCCCAATGTATGAGTTTCTTGTGGCTGCTGTAACACAGCACCATAAAATAGGCAGCCTGAACAACAGGAAGTAACCATCTCTCAGTTCCAGACCTCCAAGCCTCAGCTCAAACTGTCCACGGGGTTGGTTCCTTCTGGGGCCTTGAGGGAGACTCTGCTCCATGCCTCTCTCCTGGCTGCTGGTGGCTCTGGTGACCCTCGGGTTCCTTGGCTGTAGGACACATCACCTGCTTCCGTCTTCATATGGTGTTTCTCCCTGTGCCTCAGTATCTCCTAGTCAATGGATCCAAATTCTATCTTATAGAGATACACCGTCATTGGATTGGGGCCCTCCATAATCTACGATGACTTCATCTTAACTTGATGGCATTTGCAGTGACCCTATTTCTGGGTAAAATCATACTCACAAGCACCAGGAGTTAGGTCACAGACATATCTTTTGAGGGGGACACAAGTCAACTTCAGTACAGCTAGGCTGGCATTTTATATGTTTGGGTCATGCTTTCTGGCCTTATCAGAGGAAAATGCACAATATTTTGAGGCTTCTGGAAACATGGAAAAGAGCTCATAAGGACCCATGCATTTCATATGGGGACCCTGGTAGGCCAGCCACACTGGTGCCAAGGGCATGGGAGTCAGGGTGAAGCAGGGGGTCTGTGACTGTGTGTCCCATTTCCAGTAACAGGAACCAGAAAACTATGCCCCTTAGGGATGGAGAATGTGACCCTTCTCTTCCTGCCCCACTGTTACTCTCCAACTGGGTGGTATGTAAATTATCCCGAGGGTGGAAACTGAGGTTTTGAAAAGGCCTCTCCTGTGTCCACAGGCCTTTGCGGGAGGCTGAGCGAGCCACCCAGCCTTATTACAAGAAAAGAGACCAGTCAAGTTGATCAGATGAGCAGATGGACAGGCCTTTTGGGAGGCCACTGTCCAGAGTTGTCCCTGTCTGCAAAAGCCCAGCCCAGCCTGTTGGAAGGGGCCTGTCTGCTCACAGAGCATAGCAGACCTCAGAATCCCAGGTGTAGGAACCTCTTTCTCAGAATGCAAGGGGTCCTGGGGTGCCTGGGTGGCTCAGTCAGTTGAGCATCTGACTTTGACTCAGGTCATGATCTCGCAATTTGTGGGTTCGAGCCCCATGTCAGGCTCTGTGCTGACAGCTCAGAGCCTGGAGCCTGCTTTGGATTCTGTGTCTCCCTCTGTCTCTGCCCCTCCACTATTCACACTCTGTCTCTTTCTCCAAAATAAATAAACATTAAAACAAGAAAATTGAAAGAAAAGAAGAATGCAACGGGTCCAGAAGTAATGTCCCAGGGTGGTGACAAGCCAGAGCCAAGAGGATGCACCTTGTGCCCTGAGGTGCAGAGAGGGGCGAGCCTGCCATGTATGTACAGCATTTCCAGTCTCCTCTGTTCTTGGGGTTCCCACCTCCACTTTAATAAAGCATGATAATGCCTATTAGGAAGTGTGACTACGAGGCTCCAAAGTCCACGCTGGGCCCTCTCTGGCAGATGCATTAATTTCCAAGCTCAAGGAGGCCAGGACAGAGCCGTGTCTTTCTCACAAAAGACACAACCTTCCCCAAAGGAGTGGCCAGGCTACCAGCCCATTCCTTTACACACTCGTACTGGGTCGCACTTTGATGTCCTGAGCACTTTACACTCATTGTACTTCCCTTACACGGACGAAGACACTGATGAACAGAGAGGGTGAGTAACTCGTCCAAGATCACACAGCTGTGGGTGGTCAAGCCAGGCTGAGTCCACATCGCCCTCATTTGACAGACAGGCTTGCCGGCTACTCAGGCTGCATGCGGAGGAGGCCAGCCCAGCTCTTCCAGGCCGACCCCCGAAGAAGCTCAAGAACTGTGCAATGGTCTTGCCCACGAGGGAGTGTCCGCGGGAAGTGCGGCTCGATGTGTGGACGTGAGAACAGGGTTCTGGCCCCCGCCCCCACTTACGGGTGGAGACACGGCGGCCCGGCGCCCTCCCGGCGCGGGGAGGGTCCCTGATGGGCGGAGCCTCGTCCAGCGTGCCAATGGCGGCGCGGGGGAGGGGCTGGCGGGCAAGGGAGCGCGGAGGGGCTGGGCTAGAGGGCCAAGGACGGCGGGAGGGAGGATGGGGGCGGGGCAGAAGAGCTGCGGACCAATGTCGGTAGGGGGCGGGGCCGGAGACAGGGGCGGGGTCGTCGAACTGCGAGCCAATGGCCACGCGGGGGCGGGGCGGCGGGGCGCGGGCGGGGGGCGCGCGGAGGCGGCGGCGGCGGCGGCGGCGGCGAACAAAGAGGCGGCGGGCGCGGGCGGCCGAGCGGAGCCGAGCGCAGCCGAGCCGGGCCGATCCGGGCCGGGCCGGGCCCAGGAGCGCGCGGGCGATGCGGGCGTCTGGGCGAGGGTTGGCCGGCCCCTGAACCCCGCGCTCCCTGGGCCAGCGAGGGAGCCCCGCGGCGGCGCGCTCCCGAGGCGGCCGGCCCGCCATGGCCGGGGTCAGCTACGCGGCGCCCTGGTGGGTGAACCTACTGCACCGGCTGCCCCACTTCGATCTGCGCTGGGAGACCACCAGTAGCCAGTTCCGGCCCGAGGATACGGACTACCAGCAGGTGACGCAGCCCCCCGGGTTGAGGGTCAAGGCCCTGGGTTAGGGCCCCTCATGCCGAGGGTCACTGTCCCGTCCTTTCGAAGGTCTGAAGACTACCGAACCACCCATCGAGGGTCTTGGGCGGGAGGGCGTCTTCCTCCCAGAGGGTCGCAGCCCCAGTCCTCCTCGAGGGTCACGGCCTCCGCCTTCTCGTGAGTCACAGCCCATTGCTCCTCGAGGGTCTCCCCCTGCGTCCTTGGGGCTCCCCTCCTTGAGCGTCTAGAGACCCCCATCCTGCATGGAGGGTCCGCGGCCCTCCTGCAGATTCTAGCCTTCTCCCCTGGTGTCGCTTAGGCCCTCCTTCTGGGGTCATGTGGAGACTCTCTTCTCTCCACGGAGCCCCCTCTGCCAGCTGTCAGCACCAGCCCAGGCCCCTGTCCATCACCTGGGGCAGCCCTGAACCGTGGCCCTGCAGAGCCCCCTACCCAGCAGACCCCAGGGCTCTGAGACCAAGCCCATACCTGAGAGCACTGGGTCCAGCCAAGAGAGGATTCGTGGCCCTCTCACCCCCAGTTGGGGAAGCCGACTCACTGCCAAGATTTTGGTGGGTGAGTGAGATGGGCAGATGCCAGCCCTCTCTGGCCGGTAGTGTCCCCCTGCTGGGTGGCCAGGCTGTGGGATGCACACAGTGCAGTGTGTGCTGTCGTGACACCTGGCCTGCCTGGAGATCCAGCTGCCCCTGAGGAAGGGAGGCCTGGCCACAGACACTCAAGGTGGGCCTCAGTACGGGAGGCTGGAAAGGGGCTGAGCCTGGACAGAATGGGGGACAGTGGGAGTCTGCAGCCTTCTCCCCAAGGGATCAGGCTCTTCCAGTAGAACCCTAGTCCTGGGGTCATGCCAAGCCCAAGCAGCACCACCCCCATCACCGAGCCACTGTCATTTCAGTGCAGGGCAGGGCACTAGGCTGTGGGCATTTCCTTCCTGCCTGGGGATCCGGATTCCAGAGGTCCCATGGCCAGGCTGCCTGGTCACCCAGAACTCCTCTGGGGTTCGTTCCCTCCAGTGGTCATTGCAGAGCCCTGGGTGGAGTGGAACAGCATTGCTTGTCGAGATGGCCTGGGAGTCCAGCATTCCGTGGGCAGTCTTGTGCCTCGCCCGTGTAGGACTGTCTTCCCTTAGCTACAGGATGAGACTGGAAGCAGCGAGCTAGGGCACCATGGGCATCCCAGCTCTGCACATCCCAGCACTCCCGGCCTCGTTGCTCACCTGGGGCCTGCACCCCTATCCCCCTATCCCTGCTTATCTGCTCCTAAGCAGATTAGAAAGGGGGCCAGGGATTGGCCCAAGCATGCCCAGAGACAGCAAGATTTTTATAAAACTCGATGCCCACATTCTAGAAACCAAACGTGGGGTGCCGACTGGTGTTGGAGACCACCCTTTTGTGACCCCCATGGTCTTCCACATGTCATGGTTGCGTCACGTTGGTCCCCTGGCTGTCCCAGGCCAGGGACGGTGCTTTACTTTAGAAGTTCTCTGCCAGTTTTGAATCCTGAAGCTCCGGGGGGCATCCCTCGGGCGCCTGGGACATCTGGACCCGCACAGAGCTTTCCTGCTGGCCTGCAGGCTGCACCCACCATCCCGCCAGCCTCGGGTGGACTGGCTGCGGCCCCTCGCCCACTGGGGCTCCTGGAACACATTGTGGGGTGTGAGTGAGGGCCTGATGCTTGCAGCCTGTGGCGCCCTCCAGAGTGATGGCCAGCCGCCCTGACTCAGCCGGCCCTCCTGCAAGGCCCTGTGCCCCTGCAGGTGTGTGCCCCCAGCTTCTGTGAGCACTTTCCCCTCCTCCGCTGTGGGAGGGCTCTGACTCACTCTCCTGCCTCCTCTCTGCGGAGCAGAATTAGCTGCTGAATAATTCACCACGGTGTGGAAACCAGCCTGTCTCCATCCCCCGCCACCCTCGCTCCTGGCTGGGGGCTAGTAGAGTGAGCCAGACCCGGACATGCGTCCTGCCCCTGCCCTCCCGGGGCTGGTGCTTTTGGGCAAGCCCTTGACCTCTCTGATCCTTCACTGCCACATATTGAAATCTGCGCTGGCGCACTTCTGCAGGGCCACAGTGGGGGGTGCAAGAGCCTCGTGCTCTTGCTCCATTTTTGGTGGCAGCAGACAGAGCTCCCTTCCTGGGTGGCTGGGCAGTAGGTCAGTGTGGGCCCTGTGACTTAGGGCCCCTTCCTGCCTCCCTTGGTTTAGTATTCCTGGCTGTTGAGGGGGCAGTGTTCCCATTCCCCTCCCTGCTGGTGGGCGGCAGACCCCTCATCCTCTTGACCTAGGTGCCCCCTCTTGGCCAGCTTCTACCTGGGGTGCGGGGTCTGGTGATGCCCCCACCCCCATGTGGTGTTGGCCCAGCTGCGGGAGGAGGGCTTCTGCCTCCTGGACTGCCCAGAGGAAGAGTGGGGCCTGGGTCCAGGGGAGTAGGGGACGTATACGGCTTGAGGAGGCCAGGCTTTGTCCTTCTTTGCCATTTCCTGCCCCCACCGTCCACTGCTGGGTGCTCTGTGAAACCCGCTGGAAACCCCCATGGCCCGCCCTGTTTTGAGGCACTGTGCAGGGCTGTCTGTCACTAGTCCTTTCCCATACAAGCCAGGAAATGAGGGTGATTGTCTCCCTTGTACTGATTGGCAAACTGAGGCTCAGAGAGGGAATCAGGTTAGAATCACATGATGAGGAGGTGGTAGGAGCCAGAGTCAGCCTCCTGGGCCCCACTCTGCCAGCCCCCTGCAGGGATCAGGAGCAGATGAGGGGCTATTCTGAGGGCTCCCACAGTCCTGGCTGGCTTGGAGCCTCTGCAGAAGCAAGATTGGCATTTCTCTTGAGGCTCAAGGTCTCAGGCTTCCAATTTGGGGGGGAGGTGCTCCCACGCTCCCTGGCCATTGCGTCCATCTCTTGGGGGCCCGTGCTGTTTGCTGAAGGGACAGATTATAGGGAGGGTGCCACTGTGGGTTCTGTGGGGGCTGATGGGATCTGTGGGTGGATGGGTACTGGAAGGAGGCAGAGAAGCTTCTGGAGTTTGCTCTGTGCTACTCCACCCCCCACCCCCCCGTCCCCCCCAGGAGGGGCTGCTAGTCTGACTCCCCTGAGGTGGGGCCCAGAGCTCCCCACACAAGGGGTACCTGGATGGCCAGGGATGGTCATTTTAGGGGGCGGCAGGGAGCCTTGCTGGTGTGAGAAAGGAGAAGACTCTCCTACGGTTGCACAGCTGAGCTGGTGGGCTGGGCCCGATATCTGGGGGCCTGACGTGCCTTGAGGCCAGTCTGTGCTCTGCAGTGATGGCAGGGGATTCGGGCAGGGGTCCCAGAGCCTCCTCTGCTGGTTGGAGAGTAGGGTCCTGGGCCCCCTCTGTTGCTTCCTGTCTGCATGACCTTGGGTGGGACCCTCTGCCTTTCTGGGCTCCCCTTGGGGAGTCTGCCCATCAGTCCTGGACCCCCCCATGACTCCCCTTCCAAGCCCTCTGCACCCCTGTGTCCTGAAGCAGAGGCCAGATTCACTCTCTTTGCCCTCAGCTTCTCTTATTCTTGCTCCTTGTCTCTGCCAGTTCAGGGCTAGAAGCTGCGAGGTGATGGAGGCATCAGGACAGGGTCTGCAGGAGCCCAGTGGTCAGGGAAGGCTTCTCGGAAGAGGTGTGGAGGGTGCCAGCTAGGCTGTGAACACCCAGAGGGCTGGGATCTTCCTGGAACTTGGCAGTAAGTGGGCACAGTGGCTTACCTTCCAGGTCAGATGGTAGCATTCGCCTCAGGTTTGCGCAGCCCGTGAGGCCTGTTTCCTGTTAGAGCCCTGAGTGCCGGGAGATTTCTGTTGAGACCCTAAAGCTAAGACAGAGGTAGCCATTCAGAGACCCTGGGAGAGACAGTCCCTGGCAGCTGGAACAGGATGTGCAAAGGCCCGGAGGCAGAGGGAAGCCAGAGCCTCAGCCCAAAATAAGGGAGTTCCTCTGGTCTGAATGTGCTGCCTCAGGAGGTAGTGAGGGCTCTGTGCCCAGAAGTGTGTGAACCCTAATTGGGTGGCCACTTTGAGGGCATTTGAGGTCTAGGCTGTATGACTGTCAGGGCCCAGTGGTCTCCTAGCTAAGACTGCAGCCAGTGCCTTGGTTAAAAGCTGTGACCCAAGAAAGGCCCGCCGAGTACCAGACTTCTGCAGGGCACCGGGTCTCATGGGCGGGGCTGGCCCTGTTGTTCTCCTTGCTGATCAGCAGATTAGAAAACGTGTTGAAGCTTAGCACATCCCCCGCTTGGCATTGGTGTGGGGTCTGTGTCACCAGGCCCTGTTATTCTGCCATTTGGTGCCTCCTGCTTTTCAAGGGTCTGTGGATGTGACAAGCCGTGTCCCCAACACTGTACTCCCCTACCCGGAGGACATGCAGGAAGGGACAGGAGCTGTTTGCGCTCTGGGCAGGCTTTGGGCAGCATGCGCTGTGGCTCTTGCCCCAGGCCACAGCTGCTGTGCCAGAGGCTCGCAAACATCCCCCTGGGCAGCCACACAGTGGCCCTCGGGAGTGGGAGGGCATCGTCACTGCTAGAAGCAGAATTGAGGCCACTGGCGAGCCAGCAGCGGTGGGCTGGAGGAGTGTGGGCAGGCTCCTGCCCCAGCATGGTGCTCCCCTTCTGTGGACACGGTCCCCCAGCAGGACCTGGCTCAGGAAAGCTCAGGTCCCCCTCCCCCCACAGGCAGCTTTGCTTTGGTGCTCAAGAGGAACCAAATCTGTAGCCCAGGGACCCGGACTGGGTCACAGATATGGGAAGTGGCTGGGGCATGTGACAGGGCTGGTGGTAGGTGTGGCAGGACCCAGCTGTGCCCGTTCCTGCCTGCTGGGGTCTGCACTTAGCCTGGCGCTATGCCAGGACACACGCATGGCCCTCCCGTGGCTCTGAGGGGCTTCCCGTGGTTTGGGGGAGGGTCTGATGGGCACACGTTGGGCACCGTCGCCAGAGCAGGGAGCCACTCACGCGGTCAGTGGAGGGGCCACTTTCC